CAGGAAGTGATAGAGAGAGTGACTCTGAGCGACGCCTTAAGTAACGTCGATGTCTTGGATGAGTTGGAACTGCCCGACAGTCAGCCCTGTATTGCCGGTTAGTATCTCATCGGTGGCCAACGGGTCACCACATGCCGTGACACGCGTTCAGCGGTGTTGTCACCGCTTGTTTGAGCGGTTCCGGCGCTTTAATGGCTTGTCTGATGTGTGTGTTTGATGTCTTCAGGCGAGAACTGGTCGGTCGTATATCACGTGAACTTTGACACCAACTTCGAGGACAGGAATGCGTTTGTGTGTGGAGTCGCCAAATACATAGAGGAGGCGACCGTTCAGTGCCATCTCAACGTCATGTTAGACGAGGGTATGTCCGCCACTCATGAGTTATGCGATGCTCACCACCGGATGTGTTGATCTGCAGGTGAATCTCACGCCGTAATGCTGTATACGTGGAGGTGTTGTTCCCGAGCCATACCTCAGCCAAAGTCTAACGAACAGCCAAACCGAGTGGAGATCTACGAGAAGACAGTGGAGGTGTTGGGCCCCGAAGTGGACAAACTGTTGGCTTTCATGTACTTCCAGCGCAACGCCATCGACAGGTTCTGCAGCGAAGTGCGCCGTCTGTGCCACACATCCAACGCCGGACTGTCGGCCGACGGCTCCCAGAAGAAGACAAACGCCACGTTTGTCTCCGAAGCATATCTCCTGACATTAGGTTTGCCATTGATTTTGACCACAAATCTAATGAACCGTTTTGTGGACAACAGTGTATTGATTGTGCGAAATGTGTGTCCATTTCAGGCAAATTCATAAACATGTTCGCCGTCTTGGATGAGCTCAAGAACATGAAGTCTTCCGTGAAGAACGATTACGCCACGTATCGAAGGGCCGCGCAGTTCCTGAAGGTGTTGTCCGACTCGCAGAGTCTTCAGGAGTCGCAGAACCTGTCGATGTTTCTGGCGATGCAGAACAAGATCAGGGATTCGCTGAAGGAGTCGCTCGAGAAGATCAATGGCTACGAGGAGTTGTTCTGCGATATCGTCAGTCTCTTCACCACTATGTATGAGAACAAGTTATATGTGTTGCCACAGGAGAAGCATATGTTAGTCAAAGTGATCGGATTCGCGCTGTTCCTCATGGACAGCAAGTCGTGTAATATCAACAAATTGGACGCCAAGAAGCGGATCAGTTTGGCGCGAATTGACCGCATATTCAAGTCACTGGAAATGGTGCCACTGTTTGGTGACATGCAAATCGCGCCCTTCCAGACGTACATCAAGAAGTCACCCCATTATGATCCCACCAAATGGCCGATGAGTGCCAACACGACCACCAATTCCCCGCAGGCAGACATCCTGCAGTACGTGCCCGCCATCCGCGACGAGTACGTGTCCTTCATATCAGAGCTGTCCCGGCATTCAAACGAAGTGACGACTACTATAAAGGAAACGCCGAGAACTGACGCCGAGAACAAACAGTTACTACAACTCGCGCTCAAAGGTTACCACCGATTGTCTCACATTTGATGGTTGAGTCGTTTAATTGGTTTTGTTGTCAAATGAATAGGTATTCAACTGTTGGCCGATTGGACGACACACGTGACTGAGCTCTACTCGTGGAAACTGATGCACCCGACGGATCACCACCAGAACAAACAGTGTCCGATGGAAGCCGAGGAGTACGAGAGGGCCACCCGTTATAACTATAACGACGAGGAGAAGACGGCGCTCATCGAAATCATAGCTATGGTTAAGGGATTACAAGTGCTTATGAACCGAATGGAAACAGTATTCACAGATGCCATCAGACGAGCCATTTATGCGGAACTCCAAGACTTCGTACAAATCACGTTAAGGGAACCGCTGCGGAAAGCCGTCAAAAATAAGAAAGACGTCGTGCGCACTATGATATCGTCGGTCAGGGATACGTGCGCTGACTATATGAAGGGCTTTGAGGACCCGCTCTCTAAAAGTATAGACCACTCTGTGCTTTGAATGCATAAAATTGTCTCACATTTGTGGTGTGTTTTAGGTTCAAAGTCGACGCTATCGTCAGCGTCGGACGTGGAGGTAAAGGTGCCGCGAAGGAATGTGGGCCCCTCCTCCACACAGCTATATATGGTTCGGACACAATTGGAATCATTAATCAGTGATAAAGCACTGTCTGGTCGACGAACACTTCGCAAAGACATTGACGGCCATTACTTACTGGCCATCGATCAGTTCCATAAGAACTCATTCTATTGGACATATCTATTGAACTTCAGCCGTAAGTGTTTTCTTATGTTTATTTAGATTTGTATTCAATTGGTTTGTGGTTTGATTACAGAAACACTGCGCGAATGCTGTGACTTATCTCAGCTGTGGTACCGGGAGTTCTATCTGGAGATGACAATGGGAAAGAGAATTCAGGTCTGTTTCTGATCCCTGTCCTGTCATTCATGTGTTGTTTTTGTTGATTGTGTTGTATTTTATGTGAAATTATGTGTTTGTCTTCTAAACATTGGTCCAAATGTTGTGAAAATGTCTCAAATGATTGAATTAATATTTAAATTTTGCTTATAGTGTACTGTAAAACACGTTCACTCAGACATATGTAAAGACATTATGTCATTGGAAAAGAGAACTCAGGTTTATATCATTTTCTAAACTATTGGTTAATCGACTAACAAACTAAACATTTTGTTAACAATTAACTTGAACCCAACATTTACCGTAACAGTCAGTGCATGAATGGAGTCTATGAATGAGTGCATGAATTCATTATTCCATGAGTTTGTCTCGCTTGCCAAAAAATCTAATTAATTTGTTGCATAATGTAGTTCCCAATTGAGATGTCGTTGCCATGGATTCTAACGGATCAGATTCTTAAGACAAAGGATCCCTCGCTGATGGAGTGAGTCATAGATCGCATCAATATTTATGACATTGTTTTAATTTATACTTTCAATTGAATCCGTGAATCAGATGTGTATTATTTCCATTGGATTTATACAACGATTCAGCGCATTATGCTTTGACTAAATTCAAGAAGCAGTTCCTCTACGA